GGGGAGGCTGGGTGAGGTCAAGAGGAGGGCAAAGGCAAAAAATAATGTCAGCCCACAGAAAAGTGAAGCGTAAGAATCAATTACAGGTTTGTGAGTCTCTTCTAACTGAGGATGCCTGCTTTTTAGGATCTGATGCCAATCTCATGTTGATGGAAACATGTGTCCCAGCTGGCCAGACTGCTTTGGCACACATCCTGTCCTGTCTTTTTTCAGAGACGCAGCATTCACTTTCTCTGGGTCTCTTTTTCTCAGTCCTCTGTTTCTCTATCATCTCTTTTCCTTCCCGCCTCGGTTTTTGTCTCTCTCTCAATACCTTTCTATGTGTCTCTCCTGCCTACACATATGCACGTACACAAATATACTTTCACCCACAGTTTTCTGCTGAAAAGTCACTGAGGTCAGCATTAAATCATTCACTAATTTTTCAGCCACACTAGAGTCCCTATTGGCAGCATGCTGCCCAGGGCTAATAGCCTCCATCAATAACCTTGAATCTGTCCTCTAACTATTTCTCTCTCTCTCTCTCAGTACACATCACTGTAATGAAAAATACAATAAACACAATAAGAGAACCATATTGAATAACCTGGCTGCATTTGCTCATTTGTTTTCATCAGTGACAGTAACACAGTACCTTTAATGCAAGTCATTCATTAATCGTGTATTTTAAAAAAAATGGATCCATACTGCTGCATGATCAGTAAAGGAGGTTTTTTTTCTTGTCACTGATCATCAAGTGTTCTTACTCTAACTTAGATTTGTCTAAGTTGTTCAATTTCAGCGGATGTCCATAGTAAAATATCAGCAAATTAGGACATATAGTGTAACAGCTTAAAAACACAGCTAATATGGTGCATAACTGGCAATACACATAGTTTCCTTTAAGGCTGCAATTACAAGGACGCTAAAGGTAACCCAGAGTTGAAAGGTGCAGGAAATCTTTGTCCTTTCAAGGAGTTAACATCAAATCTAAATACACCAAGCCGGTGTCAACAGCCGTAAGATAAAACACACAATCAACCTGCATGTGAAACAAAGCTTAACCTTGGCAAAAGAAAATATACAGTGCTAATAAATTTTAAGTTCTTAAAAAAATCTGGTTCCATGTTGTATTCTGAAAAGTAGAGAACAACTGCTGCACAACTACTACTTCACAGACACCAAAAAGATCCAACAGGGAACCTGGGAGTGCGTGTGAAGCACAATCACACCCTGGAGCTTATCATATGGCTGCTGGAAACCATTTGCTGCCACAAAGCCTGGATTGCAAACGTTTAAAAATATCTGAAGGTCTGCATCTCACAGCTGAAGTTCAGAACTGCTCATGCTATCACTGACTGGACAAATGTGAAACACAAAGTGTAATAACAGAACAGACGGGCACCTCAGGAACCCATTTTATCCTTGAAATGAGATGTGTATGCTGTTCTGTCTTTGGTTCTTTGGCTGGTAGCTGAGCCTGGCTGCTATCTCTGCGTACCATGTATTCTATCATAGACAAATAAAGCAATAAAATGCCAAAATCATGAAATAATATGATACTGTATTTCTCAATAGTAATTTGGCATAACCTTTAAAAGTAAACCAATGGTGTGTTTGTTTTTAAGTACTTTTCTTAAGCAACACTTGATTTTTGGCACATGCCTTTGTATGCAATCATGACTGTGTTAGACAGATAGGGGATGGCTTCTCTTTTTGTTTCTGCCTCCCTTCCACTATCTCTCCCTCCCTTCCTTTAGTCCATTATTCAGTCAACAGACACTTTGGGATCGATCGGGCACAGAAACATGGCCTGGCAGATGAAACATGTCCTCTCTAGGCACACAATGATAAATAAAGCACTGCGAGCCACAGCATTCTACCGCTGCAGGGTTGAGGGGGTGAAATAAAATAAAAGAAATGGAGCAGAATCATAAGGGCAAACAAAGGTATAGGAAGAGAAGTAAACAGTATACATGCAGATGTTATAGATGCAGCGCTCTCTGCATAGTGAAGTGTAGGTGGGAACATAATGGGCAATATTGAAATGCACATTTCACCCACTCGCACAGGTGATAATTATGCATAGCCATGGATCAGACTCCTTTGTAATGTGATGTGTACTCAGGTGAGGTGTCAAGTCTCATTCCAAGACATTTTAGTGAGTGCAGCACGGAGTGAAGCTGCAATATTCATGAAAGCCTTGATGACATCCCATCCATTTTGTCAGCAGTGTCTTGAAGTGTACTGGGTGGTTCATGTGCATTGTCACTTTTTTATGTGGCTATGTTTGGAGAGCTAAAGCTGCATGTGCAGAGAGGCCTCTTGACTAGCATTATGGTTTTTTTGTGAACTTATTACCCCTGGTTCCGTTTTATCCCATTTACATGTAATTAGTGATACTAGTGATGTCAGAATTAAACCCGTTCTTCTTTTCTTCCATAGGTTCTACTCTTCACCATACAGCATCTCCACCAATCGGATGATTGCACAGACATCAATCACACCATTCATCGCTGCCTCTCCTGTCTCCGCATATCAGGTGCGTGGAACTTGTCTGAGTTCTAATTGGTTAGGTCGAGACATGGGGCCCTGTAAGAGCATTTTCATCGCCCTAAAAATGAACAAAAGCCACTTCAAATAACTCACTGGAAAAATAGCTCCCTAACAAGGGACACCATTTGTGAGTTTAGATAGCTAAAATTGCTATAACTATAGCTGTGAGTTTAGATGTATTGCTAAAAAGGCATGTTGATTTATTTCCAAATTGAGGAAACAGATCTGTCTTTGGCCCTTGCCGCCACTGCAAAGAACCCCAGGTTTCAGCTTCTGACATGCTTTTTGACTTTGGTAGGTTGCCGATCAGCCATCAGATTTAGCAAAGCAATTAATGTTCTCAGTCTGTGGCTTCAGCATGGCATGCAAGGCAATCAGATAGCACTCTATTTGTGTCTCAGACAACTCGGTGTGGTTTTGACAAATGCTGTGGTAGTATTCAGGAGAATTTATTTTATTTTGTAGCAAATCTCACGAAAGAACCAAAACCAGCAAAACAAGAGTCACATGTGTAGCTAAAACCATGTATAGCTTATTCCTCTGTACTGCTGCTGTGAAAAACTGTTTAAAATACACAAGTGAGCCACAGTGTTGCACTGGGTGACATTTTTCTTTGTTACCATAAGCATGGGCACAGTAGTTTATTACATATTCTGTACTGTCCTGCAGCGTAGATACTCACTAGAGCACAACATATGTATTAATCTGCAGCTGAATATTGTGCACAGCAAATGCATGATTTACATCACAACATGCACTATTTCCTCTATGGCTAATGTTAATTAAAACTAAAGTGCCCAGTTGTTATAAGAAATAACTCAACCTTGTGTAAATATGAAAGTTTTAAAACTGTATCCTTCACTTGGAAGATTAATATTAATTAATAGCTAGACAAATACATTGTTGAGTAGATTTTTTCATAGCATTTGCAGAGAATAAGAAGCATACACAATAACAGCTGCCTCGACTTTAGTGAGTTTAAGAGCTCAGCTACCTTGTATGAGACCAGAGCTAAATATGTAGCAAATATTTTCATTTGATTCCATCTACAGAGGTTCTGGTCCTTGGCTTCTGAATGGTTTCCGAATGCACTCGGTTTGCTGAATTGACCACTTTTGCTGAACTGACCACTTTTCACTATTGTTCTGTGTATAGACCCTGGATGTCCAGATCAAGCAAGTAGAACTTGTCTTTTCTCAGCAAAGACTTTCACACAGAAGCTGTTATCAACTCGTTCCTTTCGACACCGTTCTTGGTCTAGAATTGATAAAACACAAGCTTATATTACAGCCCTCCTCCACAGATTCTCCTTTAGTCTCTCTTTCTGCCGTATATTCCCATTTATCACATCCTCTCTCTTCCACATAAACATAATAAAGCAATTCATGTCAAAGACGGTTGCTGCTGTAGCTGTGGTTCTGTGACAGGTTGAGTTGGTATTTGGTCTTCAGTTTGTCAAACACATAGACTTTTAAACCAACACCAGCCCTCCACCACAGGTTTTCTTTAGCACGAGAAAAGACAAATACAATACTTATATTGTACTTATATGAGAAAGACAAATACAAAGACACACCTTGAGCAGTGGAAAATTACACACAGAGACACAGTCACATCCTGCTTTTTGAAGAAAACACAAGAAGTTAACTTACCCTGTTACTCTAACGCCTCATAGAAAGACACAGGTAAGCAAACATATACATGAACTGGGATACTTGCTCTATACACACATACAGTACTGTATCTTATATGTGACAAAGAGGACCCTGGGGACTTGTTTCTCCTCATGCTAGGTTTGGGCAGTGGATAGCAGCAGTAGATGAAAGTGTTGATTTGTGGACAAGACAGGCTTTGATGATGAAATCCTCACTGTGAAGCAGTAATTATTAGACTGCATTGCTTTTTGTGGTCTTTATATCATCTTATAATTACAACATTACATACTGTGCAGTGGACCCTTAGTTAGCACTGTAATATTCTTTAAGACACACTGCCACGTAGACTGAGGCTCTGAAATGGGCTTGTAAAGACTTCAGCTAATGATTCATTTTCTCTCTTCTCCTCTCTGGCTTTCTCATTTTCGCTCCCTTCCTGTCATTCTGTCATGCAATTGCCCTTCTTTACATCCCCTCTCCTCAATTCTTTATCCTCTCATAACAATCTTCTTTTTGATCTTCCCTTTCCTCTCATCTCTTCTTGACCTCCCTTCTGCATCCTCCTACTCATGCCCATCCCCTCCTTCTTTAATTACTTTTTCTCTTCCTTCTTTTCTTTCTACCCTCGCTCCTTCTCATTTCTATTTTCTTCATCACCTCTGATCCTACTGTCATCACCTCTACCTCTGCTATCTCTGTTTGCTATTTGTTTTCCTCTTCTCTTCTCTTCTCTTCTCTTTTCTTCTTCTCTACTTTATTGTCCCCAGGTCCAGAGTACATCTTGGATGCCACATCAACAGTATGTTATGCAACCTACAGTAAGAGCCTATCCTTTGTTTGTTGTGCCAAATGTTATCCTTTCCCAGTGGAGTCTCCTTTCTCTGCCTCCTTTTCACACTACATTTTTGCCTGTCATCTCTCCATGTAAGCACATCTCAGTATTTGGTTCTCATGTGCGTTTCAGTCTGTTAATCCCTATACACTCAAGATATTTTACAGTTCTGCTCAGTTTGCAAAAGCTTTTGGCAGTCAGGGGATTTATGACCAGAAACTAATCCATTAGGTCTTATTTGTATTATAATGCTTACTAATTACTTATCGTTTTTAGCATTATTTAAAGTCTTCATACTTTTTTAGCTCATATTTTAATGCAAATGATGCTGCAAGTCACTCATAGATTAGTTTACACAAATCCATCCATCCATTCCTTATCTGTACTGCTTATCTTGAAGAGGGTCATGTGGGGCGTGGGGGGCAATCCCAGCTGATATTGGGTGACAGGAGGGGCACATCGAGGACAGGTCACCAATCTATCACATGGCTGACAATCACATACACCCACACTCACTCCTAGGGACAATTTATAGTTTCCAGTCAACCTAAGCTGCATGTCTTTGGACTGTGGGAGGAAGCCGGAGCACCGGGAGAGAACCCACGAGACAACATGCAAACTCTGCATAGAAAGGCATTAGGTCAGCTGGGACTCAAACCCTTCTCGCTGACTGCTGCATCACCATGCAACCTTGTTTACACAAATCCAAGTAAGGCAAATAAATAAATAAATAAATAAATAAAATTTGAACATAAAAAATGGCATAAGATTTCCAACAAGCACAGTAGCATATGAAAGCCAAACTCAGGTCAGAGCAGAAAAAACTGTAGCCTTGCATCTGAGTCTTGCTCTGCTGATTCAGCCTGTGGATAATACATCCGTATAATAAGGATATAATATAATAATACCCTTAAAGCAGCTGGCAGAGCTCAATGATGCAGACTGAATTCTATAATAAAAGGTTGCTCCCTGCTGGTTGGAAATGGAACTGCAAGTGCAAAAATTAGAGTTCCACAAGGTAAACATGATACCAATATTAAAGTCAGTGTAAGGTGGTAGCTATTGATTAGGTTCATACATTGATAGATATAATACAACTACATAAAAAATCTACGTATATCAAAAAAGCATTTAGATACAACAAGATACAGTATAATACCGTTATGTCTGGCTGGAGACCCAGGCATGTCTGTTAGTTTGCTGAAGGATTTAGGCTTTTTGAGTTCTCTTCATGTGCACACACAAGCACACACTGTTTCCCTCACACCCACAACATTGACTAAAATGCAAATATCTGTAGAAACCCAACTACACATTTACTGTATTTACACATATAGCCCCAGTCAGTAAAGCTACACATACCTACAGATTCAGTTTCTTCTCCTGTCATACTCTGTCACACACAAACATAACCTTGAAACTTCAAGGTTTTCCCTCCTTTTAGCCAGAGAGTGTACTGTATACAGCTACAGTATAATAGCAAGAGAATGAACTTTGAGCCTCCACAGGCTTCACTTCAAGCTCAGCTGACATCCTGTCTGTCTGTTATACAATGACTAGCCAGCCATATAAAATAAAATCCCTACACCTCCATCCAGGCATGGGACAGAATTCTGCCTTTAATTGGTAGAAGGAATGATTTACATTTTCTCCTATCCTGTAGGTGATAAACTGTGGCCTACACAGTTCACTGGTTGATTAATTATCACTAAAGCGGGGCCAGTAGAAAGAATAAAATTCATGTTCATATTGAGACCATACAGTAACCTTGAAAGTGCTTTTGCTTGTGTACAGTGCATATCTGTTGTTTCACCATTAACCCTGTGTGCTCAGTCCACTGAGAAGTTTACTGATCTTGGCAAATACGTTCAAACACAGCACATTGTCCGGACAACCACTCTATACTACGATAGCACTGTCTCCTCTTTTTTTTTTGTGATGCAAGAATAAAATTTACAGCAGGCTGCCAATATTTTTCTAGATAATAATGTTGGCTTCTCTTACAAAGTGATAATAGTCGTGACATATTTTATCATTCCGATTTGTATCTAACCACAAGTGTTAGCGAGTCAATTTCTTTCCAACATCTGCTCTGTTTTAAACCTTCAAAACTGAGTTGTGCTCCATTGAAACTGTCAGCTGTAGGGGTGTGAAAGATGCACGGAGGAGCTGAAGCAAACGCTGTCTTACACAGTTAGGCTAGTTCCAAAATCTGTTGCTCCCCCTCTTTGTCATTCTCTCTTCCTGTCTGTCTTCCTCTTTGTGTTTATCTGCCAAGTCCTGAAAACATTCTGTTGTCCTGTCTGATTAAAGTTACATCTGTGAAAGAGGATAAAACCCTTCTGTAAATGCGTTTTCAAGCAAATGTCCCATCTAATTATTTGGCAGGGTGCTTGAGTTTATGTCCTAAAACTTGAGAGAAGACAGAGAAAGATGGAAGAAAAGGGAGAGAATGAGAAAATAAAGACTTGCCTGATCTGACAGAGGAAGGACAGGAGAGAAAGGCAGGTGCAGGGAAAGGAGAGCGAAGAATGGAAACTTCTGCAAAAGCATGTCTGAGCTGTGTGTGCCTGTTCCCTAGCCTTGTCTCTGCATAGTCAAAATCCCTGTTAAACAACAAAGGCAAAGGCTAGTTGTAGTTCCTAGATATAGAAAAAACTGGCAAAATAAAGCTGCATCAGCAAGGGACCCTGAGAGAGAAGCAGCAGCTTAATTCTGTTCCTATGGTAGCACAGGCTTCCTCACAGTTGCACCACAGTTAATGACTAGTAACTCTGATTAATGGTGTGCGCTCATTGACACATTTAGGTTGATGCCTCGAGCACGTCTCTACAAAGCACTCAGTCACCAGTCCATCATGTAGGTTGAGCTTTTTATGTTCGTGGTACCAATAATGAATGGGACATTCCTCTGTATATCACTAACAAATGTGTGTAGTTTTACAGATACAGTACATATTGTAGACGTATGCTCATTAAATAAATGAATTATTTCAATTTAAAAAATGTGCTAAGTGCTGACTTTGCTTTTGAGAATACAAAAGATGTACATGCATGCACTCCCACAACTATATGTGCCTACAGACACAAGTGTAAGTATGATAACCACATGTACATTCAGGTACACACATGTGGAGTGCCTTGCAGGCTGTGTGGTTCTGAACCTTGGTGGAATGCACAGATTACTTGAAGTTAATTAGTAAGAGAATGTCTTTGTGCATAATTACTCACAAATCCCCCTACAGGAAATGAACACATTACCCTAACCATGCATAGCAAGAAAGACAAGGAAGGCGGCTTAGTGAGGAGGGCTGTAATGAGACATCCAAAGAATTGGGATTTCAGATCTTCCTGAGTTAAATTGCTATGTTAAACCCATTTGAGGAGACAAAGGGAATGAAGAATGTGTAGGAAGGCAGTGCAGTTCAGTACATATCTGAGTGCACAATACTCAGTTTGTTTCTGTTTCTAATGCTGAGATTATGCATGTGCAGAACTGTCACCCGTGTGTGCATGTGGGTGCATGTCGAGCATTTACTGTACAGCCCGGCAATACCTGTCTTTTGGCTTCATGTAGCTCAGTATAATCCTGTCTGCTTTTGTGTGCAAAAAGTAAAGGTGAGACAGAGCAGAAGGGTGTGGTTTCAAAAATAGTTCTGTAGAATAATACACACATCTGCTTCTCAGGGCACAACACCTGAAAGAGCACAAATATTGCCACATCCCTTGCGTGTTCACACACAAAGTGCTCCCGTCACACCAACAGTGGTTTTCTTGATAAACGGGTGTCATTATCACTAATCCTGTGTATTTGATGCTGCGTGGTGCCCGCAGCATTTTGCTAGTCAGCTTCACTTCTATAGTGGAAAAAGAAATAGGAAAGGACAAGAGAGGGAGTGAATGAGAGAAAGAACAAGTTCAAAGTTGAAACAAGTCTTTGATTTTTCTTTCCCATAACCTCGGGGAAAAGGTAACTGTCTGTCTTGAATACTCATTTATTGATTACCTGGGGAAAAATGTATTATACCGGTAAACATTACTGCCGCATACAATTATACACACAATTGTCCTCTCACCAAGTAATTAAAGTATAGTGCTGGCATGCGGGCACATGTGGAGATAGCATGTTTAACACTTGTACAGCTATAAATCTGAGCAGATAATTAGCCATTGTGGGTTTTCTTTTACTTTATGCAGCGTTCTCTTTGCATGGAAGCCTGCTGTGAGATTGGATGAAATGAGAGAAAAAATGAGGGAGGATGAAAACTCATTAAACAAGAGAACGTGTTATATACTGTAGATGGATAAAAAAACTTGGGCATTAGCTAGACTCTGGCAACTTAATCTATTTCCCTGAGCCAAAGCTTTGTGGGTAGATCTGTTGATGCATTTGTGTTATGGATGCATGTGTGGATGTTTTGTGTGTGTGTGTGTGTGTGTGTGTGTGTGTCACTTATTCACTTGTGTACTTGTGTTGTTGAGGACAGTGTTGACAAAGCATTTCTGATAGCCAAGCTGCTGTGT